GATATACTTCCACATGTCTCTTGGCGTTAAAGAGCAATTTATCAACTATCTCTTTTGGGGGTCCTCATGAAAATATTTCTCGTTTGTCCTTCACTTAATAAAAATGACCCCAAAGCAACAGAAGCTACTTGATTAATGGTATCTGTCTAGACAGCTGCAGAAAACAGTCACCAGCATGATGAAACATCAGTGTGTTAAGTACTAAAAGGGTCATTCCTCCCTGTAGCCACAGGCCATATGCTGGCTCGGCATTGTTTGATCCGATGCTGAGCGCAGCAAACAGCTTTATGCGTGAGCATGACTCAAGCTTGTTCCATTGCCCCTTTCCTTAGTGGGGAAAAAGCTAGATGAATAATGGCCTATTTATATTTCTGCATGCTTACAGTTAAAGCTTCGGGGGAAAGAAACATTACGGAAAATATCAACATCTACATTTACTGAGATGGGAATATATATATATATATATATATATATATATATATATATATATATATATATATATATAGAGAGAGAGAGAGAGAGAGATAGATAGATAGATAGATAGATAGATAGATGTGTATGTATAAACAAATGTCACTGATAGCAACTTTGTTACATGTCATGTTATATAACCAGGTAGTGTGTTCACAATTGGATCAAGGTGTTAAAGCAATGTTGAAAGCCTCTTAAATCCTTCAGCCAGACTAACTGCCTCCTGTTTTCCATCACATCCATCTACGATTTTCCTTACATGAACCAGTGACAGACTGCTCATATGCAACAAATACAATTGCTATTAACGCAGCCACGTGCTGAAGCATGCAACAGCATTATATAAAACCTTCACACTAAGTTAATCTGTTTCTGGGTTAAGACTGAAGACAGTTGTTATCATCTATAACTAATATATACTACATTAATAATCAGTGCTTGGCCATACATGAGGACTGGGATAATCAAAACTAGACAAAAAATACCATATGTGAAAATCTATAAAGGTTAGGCAAAAGTTTTAATGTCCCTTTTCTATGAGTGCACATATGTGATTATTTTTGTGCAGACTTCCTGTTTTGAATGAATATGCTGCAGCAGCTGAGTGAACTGTGGTTTAGATAGTTAAATATAAATGCATTGCCTGGGCAGATATATCTCTGTGTGAATGTGTCTCATCTCTGAGGTTTTTTGCTGTTGCATGAAGACTTTGAAATTAAATTGAACTTCTGACCAAAAAATGAGTTGCTACTGTAAATGTCATTTATACTTACTGTATCTCTGTATATACCTGAGAACTATTACAGCAATTACACTTACAATTATGAGGTCTCCAATGTATGCTTTTGGAGATAGTATAGGCACTGATCACTTCAAGAGTGCAACTGTCACAATATTTATGCCTACATAAAAGGTCGGGTCTGGGCACAAATAGAAACCCTCCTTAGTATAAGACAATACATTCTTATTCTTTAACCCAAATAACTTGGGCTGAAATAAAGCAACAATGATTTTGGCTTCATTGTTGCAATAATGGACATCTCCCTACACCTTTCACAATAAGGTAAAGCAATTTGTTGTTTTAAAAAAGCAGACTGCATATATCACAACACAGCTAATTAGGATAGGGTCATGATGTTGGCTTGCTAACTCTGCTCAGCTCATTACATTTTCCCATGGACAGTGTTTTCTTTCACATCAGGGGAGGACAGTTGCTTGCTTGCACAGCAAAGCTAAACAGGTGCAATAGTAAAATGCACAGGGAATGAAAAGATTGCAAAGGAAACCAAGTTTGTAACATACAACTGACAGCTCCTAAACAAACCCCAGACCAGGTGTAAAACAGATGACTGCTGACCACTAGGAGCCTGTGTTTGTGCAGGATGGTAGCAAGGGTAACAGGCAAATTACACTCCAAACACTGCTACCCTCCATTTAACCTTATGTAAACTAGCACGATTATACTGTGGACACAATTACTATTAGCAAAGGTATTAGAGAGTCATAACCTTTTGACTTCACATCTACTGCATCAACGATGAACTCGCTAACCTCTCATCTTTATAACAAATAAAATAATAGTTTTAAAACCAAGCCATTTAGCAGCACTGTTCATTTGTACAAAATGAAAACCTTAACACCACAACTGTCAGACAAGAAGTCTGACATACATATTTACATACTTACATATTTCAAAATCTGCATGTACTGCATTTTGGAAATGTGAGTACAGTACACGCCATGCTATAAATGCACATAATGTACAGGAAATCCCAAAAATTTCTGCAAACTTCATGAGCTCAGCTATTAGATGTATAAAGTGTATTAGAAAAACTGCAAAAAGGGCCAATATTCAAGCGTTAATAAGAAGTTATTGGTTTTTCTTAAGGCTTATTGGAATGCAGCCTGATGTGAATCGCTGTTCCTGCTAGCACTCCAAAACTGATTATTTTCCAAAAACACAGGTCTCCAAGTGCTTTATTCCTCTTGCATCCCAAAAATTTGCCAATGATTACATTTTTTACATTAATTAAATCATTAGTTACAAATCATACTTCTTATTCATTTACAGTTACATTTAATGTTGTGGAACATCCACAAAACAAGTTATTTCCTGTTTTCACTTCTTATAACTGCTATAATCAGTGGTTCCCTCACCAGCATCACTTTTTTCCCCTCTCTTGTGAAGTTATATGACCAAAAAACATGCAGCTTGTCACGTTACCGAGAAACTGCAAAAGCCCTCTGTCCTGAAGACTTTCCCACGTCTGAAAACTTCCAGCTATACCTTGGACAGCTCTGACACTGGAGACTCCTTCCAAAAAATGTTTTTAAAAAATCGCCTTACCGAAAACACCATATCAACACCATATCAACAATCACATTTTTTATGTGTGCCTCCATTTATGTAGAGCATCCGCCATGCTAGTCCATTTGTAAAGTGTTACTATATCATTATTAGAACTGATATAAACCTTTCAAGCGGAACTGTCTGAACTGGGCTTATATATTAAGTTAATCCACAACTTCTGACCAATCTGAATCAAGCATTCAACAGTGCTGTGGCATAAATAGATATGATACTGATATCACAATATAATAACATCAAGATTACCTTTTCTTTTCATTTTACATTTCAAAAACAGATACATGGGCATTAAGGAGTAAGTTAACAGATCTCAAGCACTTGTAAGGAGCATCTGCAAGAATTCTAACAAGCAAAGGTGAGGTCACTGGATTTCTAATGAATGAGGATATGAGAAAATGTATGAGCACTAACCCTACTCTCACCTCAAGCCTTTATAACTTTTTATACTGAACATGAGACGATGCTGTATCTGTCAAGTGGGCAGCATGAACTTTATTGATAATATTGGTATTTAAAAAGGCTTTTGTAAACATGTTTGACAGTGTTCTCTAAACTGACCTCTTTCTCCGAGATGTACAGCTTGTCTCCTTTCAGCACCACATATCTGTTTTTCCAGATCTCCCTGAAAAGGCCTTTGCCACAGTACTTGCGAATCCATCCCACTTTATCGGGTTGAGCAGGCTGCTGGCTGGAGTCCTGCAAAGCCTTCAAACACACACACAAAAACACACACACACACAAAACACTAGGCAATTAGGCAAAACATTAGGCAATTACAGCCATGGGTACTGCTCCTGGAGGTAGCCCATTTCACAAATCTACACAGGTGAAGTGGTACACAAACACACACATGCACATACAACACACACACACACACACACACACCATTGCCTTTGTCATGGAGATCGTCCCATTCTTTGTGCAACACCAACTGTGAGCTTGAGTCGGTGCTGAACTTTCCACAGGAGATCAGTGTAAGGACACAATGGCTCTTTACTTTATGCAGTCCACTAATTCACGCATGGATCAACAAAAAACGTGCAAGTGAAGGAAAGAGAAAAAACGCAGATGGAAAATGTCAGTTCTGCAATAACAAATGGGGATTAGTGATGGAGTCCAGCAGCCCACACGTACAAAAACAGAGCTACAATGGCGCATAATCGAGCAGATCGAGCATCAGCGTGTGTGTTTCCCAAACGTATCCAGAGACAAAGTGTTAAAGCACAAAGACGCGTGTTAGTTAAAGCCACAGTGACAATAGCGCCCACTCTTCTGGGGCTCGTACCCGCTTCGCCGAATTGTTCTTCTTCATCGTCAGATCGCTCGACTTCCCTCGGATGAATCCTGTTTCTTCACTCCGATCTGTATCTTTGCTTTTCCGAATGAAGTCCACTCTGGAGGAGAAATGCAAGATGAGATGGGAAACTAACTACAGGCTCGTGGGTCTTCGGTCCGCCTCGTTTCTGCCAGGCGCTGCGCTTCACGTGGAGCTGCTGTGCGCCTTTCCGCGCATTCCCGACAATAGAAATCAGCTTTATGGTAGCACACGCAGCGCTGCTGCCACCGCTCTCCTCCGCCCGTTACAAGTCTGCTCTCACACTTGTATGGGTTTGAAGAAGTTGCCGCTGTGCTCCTCCTGCTTTGCGCTCCACAGCGCCTCCTGTGTTCATCACAGCGCCATGAGCACTCTGTTGGAGGAGGGAAGGGCACCCTGAACATACTGTTGTTGTTGTTCTTCTTCTTCTACTTCTTTCGGCTGCTCCTGTTAGGGGTCGCTACACATTTGGCAGTTTGGCACAGTTTTTACTCCGGATGCCCTTCCTGATGCAACCCTCCCCGATTTTTATCCAGGCTTGGGACCGGCACTATCTTGTGCAACCCCAGTGGCTGGAGTCGGTTCCCTGCCCGGGAATCGAACCCAGACCAGGATAATGAGAGCGCCAAGGCCATCACAAATCACTACTCCTCCAGGGACCCTGCACCCTGAACATACTGTTGTTGTTCTTCTTCTTCTTTGTTCAGTTGTTCTTGTTAGGGGTTGCCACACATTTGGCAATTTGGCCAAATTTTACTCTGGATGCCCTTCCTGATGCAACCCTCCCTGATTTTATCCAGGCTTGGGACCGGCACTGTCTTGTGCAACCCAAGTGGCTGGAGTCGGTTCCCTGGCCGGGAATCGAACCCAGACCACGACAATGAGAGCGCCAAGGCCTAACCACTACTCCTCCAGGGACCCTGCACCCAGAACATACTATCCAACTAAAATTTGTGAAGGCCCAGATATGTAAGTTACCTTTTATTACTTAACCATTACTGATTAGTTCATCGTTAGAAACGATAAACACCAATCTGAAGTGGTTATGTTGTCTTCATCTGTGGTTGACTAGCACCATGGAGTCTGAACAGATGAGACTCATCTGTTATGAACATTCCTCTCTGGCTAGTTGTCCTTAAACATTCTGTTTTCATTGTTTACTTTTTTATTCTTTGGTTCATGTTTAGAAAACTTAAGTCACTGAACTATAGCCATTTTTTTTTCATAGACTGCTGTATGTGATCATGAGAGTTTCAGCTCAACTCCACTTACAACTCCACTTACATCGATTGGCTTGTGGTTTGTTGTACCATTGTGAACTTTGTAACTCTCTAATGGATCAGAATTGATAATAAAAACAGCATGCACACATGACAGGAACCCATGGCAAAGATGACTAATTACATCTATATGGTTGATGCATGCATTATGGGATGATAAAATCATGTCTATTGCAGTTTAGATTACTAGTGTGGTCAGTTTTCTAAGCAAAAACTGCATGAAGTAATCTATATTGGCTAAAGAAAATGTGAGCATTTTGTATTTGGTAGATTGCATTTGTCATGGAGATCATCCCATTCTTTGTGTGACACCAAGCGCAAGTCTGAGTCTGTGCTAAACTTTACTGAGCAGTTTCAGGACAAAATAGATCTTTATTTTATTTAGTCCTGTGTTTTACACATGTATCATCAAAAATGGAATTCAAGTGAGTTGGAGCAATAGAATATGCCAGTTCTTCAATAAGTGCCATAAATTGTTTCTAATTCTACAACGGTTCAATGTATTCTTCTGAATGTTCTATATTTTAATTATGTAATTGAGTTTCCTGGAATCACTGGCTGTTCTCCCCACATGCAACAGAGAAGGCATTCAACTCTAACCAATTATTCAGATGTAACTCTTTCTCCTTTACTGAGAAACTATTCAGACTCTCTCTTAACTATTTGCTGGTTGTAATATGACCAGTGTCCTGTAGTACTGAGTCTATTTGGCTTGCAAAACCTTGATTTAATTGAGAGAATGGATGCAAAACATTCAACCCCCAACCCGTGAACATGAAAATCAGTCCACAGCAGCAAGTCAAAAGTAGCCCAAATACATGGATAAAGTGCAGACTTATCAACCCTGGTTTAGTAAAGAGAAACATTGTCTTGATTCATTCATTTTCAGTAACTGCTTTTTGCTGGTCAGAGTTCTGATGGATGCAGAGAACTGAGCATGAGGCAGGCGGAGACACCAGACTTTCACAAGGAACCATGCACACACATATTCATACACTCGATCACAGCTATCTGTATTTTAGAGTCACTAATCCACCAAAGGGCCTGTTTTTGTGAGGTGGGAAGAAACTGGAGAACCTGGGGAGAACATGGGGAGAACATGTTAAACGCCACACAGACAGTAACCTGAGCTCAGGATCAAACCAGAGACCCTGGAGACATGAGATAGCAATGCTGCACCACCACGCTGCCTGTGTGATTTGATGTTTGCAGCTAACTGTTTTTATTTAATTCAGTTAATTAATCCATTTAACAACATTTATACATATAATCATATATTATGCCTGTTGGACAGCTGGGTAATTTGTCCCATTTGTATCTATTCAGAGATTAGCTTGATTTCCAACCAGTTGTTCATGAGACCATGTTCTAAGCCTATATGTCTTTATATGATTGGCAATAGTGAAATTTAGCTAAGGAGTTATAAAATAACAAAGCTAAATTTGGAGTTAATTCATTCTTGGAGATTTAATGTGTAACATCATTTATTCCTGGTTGAAGTAGATTTTTTATTCACTATTTGTAAACATTAAGCACTTTGACACAAAAGTAATCATAGAGTGGCATCAGACAAATGACTCTCACTAATCCAGTACCACTGCCCCAGTTTTAGCAGGCCTGTTGCACAACCATGGTGGAAAGGCGCTTATGAGCCTCTCCAGAGTCAGTCAATAACCAAAAAAAAAAAAAACAACATAAGAGGCTTGGGGTCCTTTTAGCCTAGTGAAGGTACAAGGAGATCCACTTTAGAAAGAGAGACATAAATTGTTAATTACTATGTATTATCTTTCATATCCAAAAGGATCTAGTTATTTACTATATGTAGATCTCTTAAGTGTCAATTCTCTAAATAGTTCAAACCCTGACAACAACAAGTCCTCTTAGAAATTGCTCGCCCTCATATCTCACTTTGTTGTGAGGGAAAAGGTCGTGTCTATAAATAGCAGGCGGTCTTCTGAGAGACCTGTCAGCGAAATGGTGCTCTGCTGGTTGGCAATCACACTGTTTATCCTTCCAAGCTCTATTAAGTTGACTCTTCACCATAATTGCCCAATCAGATTCAGAGTGTTCAGAGAGTTTAACACCAGAGACTAGAGAGAATGATTTGATGAGACTCTCCCACTCTGGACAGTGACCAAGTAGCTAATATCCTACAGCCCTAAGTGTATCCTAAGTGTATTCACACAGTTATTACTTTACTGGTAAATGTATCCTAAATGCAGAGATCCAAGGAAAAAAACATTAGTCCATTTTTCTTTGAATGGAAGTAATAATACTGAGATATTATCCTTGTTATAATATTGATTTTTTTTTTAACTTGTTTACTTAATACTTAATATTCAAATAAACTACTGCAGTAATCTTTCAAGGAATTTGGGTTAAAGTCCTCGTCTTCATTTTGTAGAATAGCTGCAATAGTATATATTTACAAATTTAATTTCAAAATGATATTGTCATGCACAATTCCACCTTCAAACTTTCTGAGACAGAGCCCAGACGTTGAAATGATACCAAAATCTGTGAAAGAAATAAGTTCTGGTTGTCCAAAATAACATTACAACATTCAGTTATACTGTTAAGTTTTGTTCATTTGTATAATATAGACTACAGATCACTAAGTCAACTAAGTGTCCTAAGTCATATTGGCAAGACATTATTGAACATTATTGAAACACTGGGTGAAGTTTGTAGCAGATATTTACAGAAAATAGGCAGGGTAATTTTTAGCTACAAAACTAAAAAAAAAAATTCATTTATCAGACACCATAGTTAGCTAATGAGGTACATTCGAAACACATAGCTTTAAATTTAGTGCTATGTGAAAAGGTCAATTTGTCTTTGGCTTAACCCAACAAAAATGGTGAAATGTAAAAGTATAACAATAGCAACAACTTAAACAACTTGTTAAAGGAAGAAGTTCTAAAAATTGCTTATATCTACTCATATTTTATGCATGTTTCTAGATGTTACTGATCATGCATACAGAACTACAGTCAGTGTTTTTGGTGTTTGATAATATTTATCACTTGGGATACTGAAGGATCACCTCATAGGCTGAGGGGAAGTTTTGTGTAATAGCACTGTTTGAGGAACTGGAAAGAAGGTGTTCTGAGATTATCCACCAACGTAGTCCCACACAAGCTTGGACAAACACAACCGTTTAGGGGAATCTTGTGGGTGCTTCTTGACCGGTACCTTTTAGGTTGGAACATGCTCAGTATTTTAGGATTTATGGATGAGCTACAATCAAGTGTAGGAAAATCTTAGTCTGACATATGGCAATTCTGTTTTGTGCAACTTTAACTTAAACTACATTATATGGGAGAAAAAGCATTCTCAAAAATTCCATTACACCGGCATTTTCTTTAGGTGTATAATGCAGCTAAAAATTAAGTAACTTTTTAATCCCAGTTTGTAGAGATACCACTGTATCTTACACAACATGTATACTTTTCTCTAAAATTCATCATTTTTTCAGCTACCTGTAAACCCATAGAGTCTTGTTTGTGAATTAGTACAATAAATTTAAACCTGATAAATAGTAAACCCTTTAACTGATGTGGCAACTTTAACATTAATGCTTTAAACTGAGTAGATCCTCTCTAACTCTAATTGTCCTCTCTAACTCTAAGCACTTGTCCATGAGTTCAAATGATCTGAAATCTGAGTGCATTTCATAGATTTGAATGTGCAAATGCCTGTTTCAAAAGTCAAATAAAGCTTTCCCTATTTTCCATTTTTTCTGTAAATTTGTGCCTGTGTAAGGGAAAATCTTCACTGCTTGCATTTCCAGTCTAATAAAGCAACAATAGCAATATCATGACGAATATAGAACCATCTGACTACCCAACTCGTACTTTTTCATTATTGTATAGTCTTTACTTTTTCCTTATAGCGTTCACTGAAAAAAACAGGTTTAATGACATTCTTCAGTTGTTCCTCCAGATAGAGCATCATCACTAATACACAGCACTTTATATAGTAGGAAAAAAGCACAAACATTTTGCTCCTCAAGGCTAAACTTCTTCAATGACCAATGCTGTATCATGTTGGGGCTTGAAATTCTATTAAAAGAGATCTCTGTAATTTTGGTGGTTTAATTTTTCACATCATGTCAGAAAAGAACATGTCTTAAAATGCTGTTCTTCCAAGGGGATTAAAGTCTAAAGCTTTTACACTATGCATTTGTGTATAATTTTCAAAATCCCTCAACACTTTGGAGAATCCAAGGTCATGAGAGAGAAATATGCAAATAAACATCTTCCTCTTAAGAAATGTACTCTAGGATTACAGGCTAAATATACGATTTTCTCCCTAGCATTATAGTATGCAATTATTGTGTTTCCTCTACAGTTCTCTGACATCCTGCTTCTTTACAGACAGGTGTTTTTAAAAAGACACAATATTAAAGTGGGAGAGTATCAACTATTGACTCAGTTCAGGTTTGAAAGCTGGAGACCTTGACATAGCAAAGCTATGGTTTTGTGAAGTTTGCAGCATATGCTTATTTACAACGTAAAATCACGCTTTAAACTGTGAAATGACCCTTCAGAAGTGCATATACACAGAGACTGAAAGTATTGGCCAGTCCTTCACTGCCATATTTAGTTTTGGCTAGAAATGTGTCACAACCACAAG